AATTTTACATCACTATCTCCTGTAGTTTCTGCAGCAGAAAATACTGATTACTACAAACAATTTACCAAATATGTAACATTTTAAACTTATTTTAAAACATTTAAACAATTCACAGATTAACTTATTCCTAAAGCCTTAAAATTGAAAATATTCACATCACTTTTTACAATATTTATTTACTTTTTACAATATAATTGTTACATTTTTTAATAAATTAATTTATTTAATAATTCAAACATATTATATGTAATAGTCACTTAACAAGCTTGTCAAAAGTGTTTTAAAAAATTGCTAAATAAAAGAGGCTTCTTCAATAACAAAAAAAAAATAAAATTATACATCAAAAACTTTTACATAACTCATCACAAAAATGAAATAAATAAAATTTTTATATGTAAAAATAAAACAAACAGAATATAGAATTAATGAAGTTCTTTTAATTCTAAATTAATTCAAAAATATGTTAAAAACAAATAATAAATAACATTGGGAGCACAGGATTTCTGCCAATGTTTCCAATATTCAAACACTTTACAAAATATGTCTTCATAAACAATGATAAATATGCAACTTCATAATAGAAATCATCATGCATGTTTTCATTTTTTTCTAAGTCATATTGCTTTTCTCCAATATTTTAGGACTTAAATTATTTTTGTATATATTATTATTATTTTATGAAGATCATTAATATTTAAATAAAATTAAAATTTAACATATCTGTTCAGTTTAGAAAATTTCCTTTATATATTCCTACCATTCCTGAATAAATATTTATTCTTTTTGAAACAATTCTGTAATTTGACTAATTTTTTCACCATTCTAGATTCATATTTTATATAAAACGATTTGTATATAATGATGATAGATAATATTTTGGAACTTGCATGTAGTTTGCTTGATAATTCATATATTCTGGAATTATATAATTGAACTGAAATAAATGATTTAAACCAACAGATTTTTCGAAATATAGTTGTCTTCCAAAATTGGCATTTTGATCAATAACTTTAGCGTAGGAATCAATTTCAATTTTTTGTCTTTTGTTATCCAAGAATATTTGTGGTTCATATATTACTGCTTGTTTTCTTTTATTACTGTGTAATAATGGTTTGTAAAGATTCTTTTTCATGCTATTTAATCTAAAGCAATGTTGAGTAAGATTTCTACAAGGATCAGGAATATTTTCAAAACCCCAATAATTTTTGTGGCAATCTTTATCAATTAACAGACTCCCATTTACATCACTGTTTTGTACAGTATCTAGAAACGTATTGTTATAAAATGAATCATTCCTTTTCCATTGTTCATTACTATTTGAACATGGATTAATAATTTTTTTATTCTCATTTTGTATGAATATTTCGGAAGTATTCTCAATATTTTTCCACTCATGATTAATTTTATATGATTTATTCACACTTTCATTACCAAGTTTCCTGAAACAATTCTGCTTATTTTCTGCTTGAACTAAAAATATTTCTGTAGTATCTTTTTTATTTAAAAATTTTTTTCCTCCTCCTTTTTTTAAAGATATACTTTTGCTGAAAGATTTATCTACTTTTTTCTTTTTTTCATCTTCTGATTCAGAACTGTCTGTACAAATATCAGATTCATCAACAAATAAAGTAAGATAATCTGATTGATCTTCACTGTTTGTATTGTGGAGATCTTTCTCAAATGTATATTTTGTTGTTAATTTATTATAAGTTTCTTCTTTATTGGAACTGTTTTCTTTTATACATTCTGCAAAAGAATATGCACTAGTATTTGCTGTAAGAGTTGATTCATTTTGAACAATTTTTTTCTCCTCCTGATCAACAGTATCATCTGCAATAAAATCATTTTCATTATCCTGATCACTAAATGATCTTTTTAATGAATTTACATTTTTTATTGGTCTTAGTTTAAAATGGTCTTCAAATACTTTATCTTTGGATCCAAAAATATTTTCTTTCTCAGAGTATTTTTTTAATTGATTATCAAAAATAATCTTATCTTCTAGACAGCAATTTGATAATGTATTAAATTCAAATTTGCTATTTTCTTTAATAGCAGGAGAAACTAACAACTCTTTACAGAAAACTGCATCATCTGTCTTAATAGATGTTTTCTGAAAAGACAATGGTTTTTCTATAACTTTATTTTGCATTTTTAAATCTTTGGTAAAAATAGAAATATCTTTATTAGATGAATTGCAAGATTTGTTATAAACAATAAAATTGCAATCATTATTCTTAAAATCACATGTTTCATTATTAGATTTTTTATCAATTTCCATATCTAACTTTATTTTAGGAAAGTTTTTTTCTTTCTCTGATGAATTTAATATATCAGTGTTATTTACACTGCTTATAAATTCAATTGTATCTTTTTGATTCTCTTGATCACTGAAAATTATTTTGATATTATTTATTTGCTTTTCTTCATCAGAAAAATCTAAAAAATTATCAACTGACTTTATAAAATTTGAAGATTTATTATCATCATCACTATTTCTACATAATTTCCACAGAGCACTTTCCAATTCTTCAAATGTTTCTTCACATTCTGAATATGATAAATTCTCCATTTTCTCTTATATAAAATGAATTTTATCTAAAATTATTATAAAAACATTTATTAATAAAATTACAAAATATTCATTTAAATTTAGAATAAAATTATAGTTAAAAACCATTGCAGGTATCAGTATAGATCAGGGGTCACCAAACTACGGCCCACTGCCACAGTGTACCACAAATGAGGTAAAATGTAATTACTTATATGGTAATATCATAGTTTGTAGGTAAACTTACTATGTAGAAAAAATAAAAATAAGTGTAAGTAAAAATGCCAGAAGTGGTCCAACCTGATTTTTGCATCTGACAGTAATGTAATTTTTAGGGAAAATCAGTGAAATAAAAAGTTTGGCAACTTTCTGAGACTGGATATCAGAGCATCTTTTGTGCCTGCTTAAGTACCTGCAATGAAATTTCTAAGAAAAGAGATTACAAGCTTGCTGCAGTGATCATATTTGTGTATTGGTAAATAAAGTGACATCTACAATGGCAAGCTGTAAGGTTGTGTCAGTTGTGGCTCCTGGTTTCGTGTGCTTTTTCGTATGTTATTCTTGGAATACCATTTTAGTTTACACATCCGTGGAAAGAGCTCTTCAGCCCGGTTCGTATGGTATATTAATTATATAATTTTCTTAATTAGGGTGGGAGCTAAAGGATTTTAAATTTTGCAATTTTCAGTAGGCTCTTGCGGGAGGGGGATAAATCAGAAAGGACGCGGATTTGGGGGTTGTATTTACTATATCATTTTGTATTAGATGTGTAANAGTCTTCATCCCCTTTATGAAAATGAAAATGTATTGGTAAATAAATATGTTGTCTTTATTTTGTGTGTATTCACTATACTCTATTGAACAAAGTGGTTATGTGGCACACAATCGTCATTCTCTTGGTTATGTGTCCCACTGTGAAAAAAGTTTGGTGACCTCTGATATAGATGAATAACTGATGAATAGACTGATGTGCTAAAAACTGACCTTCACTCCCTAGGGACTATCTAAGTGAAATTTTACCCAAAAAGAAAAAAACTTCATTATGTTGTTTTTAGCAAACAAAATATTAAATACAAGTTAGGCCACAATAGAGACACCAGGGCCCGCTCTAGGGGCGGATAACCCGGACATTTCTCCGGGGCGGCAAATCTAAAGGGCAGCATTTTGGTTGTGAATGTGACAAAATATTTATAAGTTGAATACTTAATTAATCAAAATTTATATTTGTCAAATTTTTTTCTGTGGCTAAAATTACCACACAATTTAAATTTCGTATTTATTATTTTTGCCAAAAAGATAAGAAAATATTTGCATTCTTTAATTCTGAAGAAAACAACCATAAAAGAGGGCTTTTGGGCAAAAGGAAAGCATAAGCAACAATGTTAAATGTTGTTCCAAACCTTAGTGTCACCTTAAAAATACTGCCGATCATACCAATAACTGTAGCTAGTGGGGGAAAGGAATTTCTCTAAATAAAAATTAATTAAAAACTTTTTATGTTCCACTACCACGCAAAATCATCTTAATAGTTTGGCCATTTTGGCCATTGCACATGAACCTGTCGATCAAGTAAACTTAAAATAGTTAATAAAATAGTTTGCAGAGCTAAAAGTGAGAAAAAAGTTTCTTTTGATTTTAATATGGTTGATGTACTTTTGTTTAGTTTTATAGAATATAAGTTTTTTGTTTGATTGTACAATAATACATTTTTGTAATATCATTAAAAATGCATCTACATAGTTAACAATTTGTAACTAGGTACTGTACAGGTATATTATAATTTTTACTGTTTTGTACTACTAGATTGTTAATTTTATATTACATGTTTCTCTCTAAATAAATTTAAGGGGCGGCAATTTGTCTTTTTGCCCGGGGCAACATAAATGCTTGAGCGGGCGCTGGAGACACACAAACGGTAAGATTGCATATGTGAATGACCCTATGGGACTTTAACAGAGTACATAGAGCATGCCCATAAAATAAACCCCAGTATGATACTTTTAAAGTCTGCGCCAAAATTCAAATTGTGCTGTACAATGACAGGGAAGAAAAAGGTTAATGTGTACCTAGGTAACCCCAATGACAGCGCTTCCGACTATTCATGGAGCCGCCGGCAGGCCGCCTTGTGCCAAATGTCACTAGTTATTGATTCACGGTAGTTTTTGAAAAAAATAAAAAAAAAAAGGAAACGTCTACTAAAAATATAGTTAAACCTAACCTAACCGCCGCCATCTTGGACTACATAGGTACACATTAACCAAGAAAAATTTATTATTCCGAACAACTTTAAGTTACAAATATTACATTATATGCGATTCTACACAATTATTTTATAATTAAAATGGTTTGATATAATTTAAATTTCAGTTTTAATAATAATTATACTTCAAAACTTAATTTATTTAATTCACACAATCGCACAATTTATATAACTGAAATATAAACTTACAAACTGAATTTTATTCGAAGACGTCCAACGGATTAACCTAGTTGGATGTTTAAACACGTGTGTTAACATACAGCAAAACACAAATCGCGCCATTACTAGTATTTCATAAGTTGCCAACTCAAGTTGGCGAATAAAAATTAGTCTAAAGAAATCTATTTTATTCATTTTATTTCTAAAAGATTTATTTTGTGAACTAATTTATAACTAAAAATATTCTTTGAATTTCAATATTAAAAATTAATATTTTCTTTCTAACCCGTTTACTTTGGGGAAAACCTTTCCTACTGATAGACTATATTACAATACAGTATTAAATTAAATCAAAGCGAATATATTGAATAAATAACCATGGATATTAAAATTCTGAATTCTATCTTCACTTAAAATTACTAAGGAAATTTTATAATTGTAGTAATAACATTTTGCATTCGACTTCAACTAGTTTGGTTCTTTAAATATTATCGATTTCCAAAAAAAAATAATAATAATAAATAGAAATATTTTAATTTTCATTTAAATAACACGCTACATTGTACATAATTATCTACGATTGTTTAATATTTATTAAATCCTCCATAATGGGTTCGGCTCGGCTAGGCCCACAATAGCACGCTGGATGATGAGGAACGGGGACCGACATATTGTATGCGGGATAGGCCATCTCTGAAAAATTCTAGGAGTTGATCGCCCGAATTTGATCTCAGTTCTCCCAGAGTAGGCTGATGCCTTATGTCCTCAGCCATCTGGTTGTCAACTAAATGATTTTATGGGAAGTATTTTTTTATGGCTGATATCTTAGAAACTATAAAATATTAGACGGCCGGATGGCCGAGCGGTCAAGGATTCGACGGATTCGATCGTTCTAAGACCCATTCGGATTCGATCCCAGGTCCCCCAGAGCGGTAGGCTCTGGGGGACCCGGGATCAAATCCTAATGGGGAGAAAAATTCCCAGGAATTTTTCGAAGGGTAGTCCGTCCGCATATGTCGAGTCCCGTCCCTCACCACCCGGCCGCCCCATTGCGTGCCTGGCCGAACCCATAATGCGCTTGCTGAAAGAGGCCCTCTTAGTGCCCACAGGGCTGAAAGTTTTAAAAAACTATAAAATATTAATATAAAATTATTTTATATAGTTATTTACGTTTTTATTATATAATTAGTCCATCATTTATTTTAAAAAAATACATGTTATTATAATAATTGAACTTATATCAATATAATAATATAAATATTTCATAATTTATCAGTTTTCTATTTTTATTAAATCATAATTGAATTAAACGATTGTTAAATATTTTAAGAAAACGAAATTAAATCATCGTAATTTCAGTTCGTGAAAAATTTAGTCTACATAATTGAATAATTTACAGGTATTTTATAAATTTATTACGCAAAAAAATATGTAAATAATGAAATCAAGTTCTAATATAATTTTAATATAAGATAGAACAATGTCTTCATCATCTTTGGAAAGTATTAATTTGAAGAAGATCGAATGGGGAGTTGAAGATAAATTTGAAGAATTACAAATGAAACTAAAACTTAAAGGTTTTTATGTTTTAATTGTTTATGACTATTTACGAAGATAAACATTTCTATTGATACAATCTATATAAATATTACGATGTTATTTGATTAAAGAAGAAAATTTAAAAATGCATAGTTAGTTTATGATTTGTTTGTATAGAATTATTTTCTGGTTAATAGAAAAACGCACAGAAAGTGGAATCCATAGATTTTAATTTTAATTAACCCCCTCGTAACGAGAAAAATTGCTCCTTAATATAATAAAAGTAAAAATTATTATTATTATTTTTTTTACTTTTTATTTTGCAATGTCCTTCCTATCTACAGTAGAATAATATAAATATTTAAATTACTTTTATACATATTTCAAATCAAATAGCTTATTTGACACATCGTTGAAAACTACGCAATGAAATGAAATATATAAACTACGTTATCGAAAATCTTTCTTAATTTAATAATGATTTGCATCCGCAACTATTTGAAAAGTTAAGCAGTAAAAGGAAAAAACTTCTCCTTTGCTGATTTAGGTGTCATTTTTAGCAATTAGAATTCGGCTGTGAATAATATGTTAGAGTAAAAATTAGAAAGAATTTGTATGCCAGGATTATCATCTCGTCCAGGTAGATGTCGACGACTATTTTTATTTTGCTTTTTCTCCCCTATAGGCCATTTTTCTGTACCCATCACAGGTTCGAATAGGACTACAATGAGGCTGTGAGATGTAAAATACGGAGACCGACTTATTCAAAACATACCATTCCCAAATAATTCCTGGGATTGATTGCCCGAATTCGATCTCGAGTCTTCCTAAGTGGTAAACTAATGTCTTAACTGCCTTGGCAATTCGGCAGTCTCTATTTTTTTGTTTAAACATATCAATTCTTTTCCCACAAAGGTTTGTTTATCAAACCATGTTATTTAGGCATTCCATAAGTTACTATTGGAACAGCACACTGTTAGCAGGCGCAAAACAACTACTGCACTTAAGGGTTTTTGTGGGTACCAAGCTTGAACCTTCAGTCCATTTAACTAGAAATCTGATTGGTTGACCGATTACCAATTAAAATCTATGTGCATGAAAGTAAATATAAATAATAACATTTTAGGCAAAATAACAAAATAGGAGCTTCTACAGACAGTGAATTCAAATCTTTGGTAATTTAGCTTCAAGATCTTGTTGGCTGCTCAGAAACCAATATAAATTGCGTTTTCTTAAAAATAAGCAGATGTTTTTTTTGTAGGTAAATAGTAAAATTTGAATCTGGAGTCCATTCGTCTTGAAATGTCGTAAATAGTCCATAATTCTGTGAAAATAGTTCTGTTCAGTGATGGTCTTTTATTTTTAAAAAACTCAAACGAAATTTGAATATCGATTATTACAGATAAATGAAATATATTCTGATTGAAATATTTCTTCGTAATCTCATAAAAGCAGAAATCTGAGAAAAAATCAAAATTCCTAAGAAAGGAGAAGTAATATATAAATAATAATATAGAATATCAAATTTTCCGGACAACACCGGGTAGCTCCGCTAGTTCTTAATAAAATATTTAATAATAACAGCATAAATAACTTATGCTACTATTATTTTCAGTTTTTCATATTTACATCAAATGATTTATTTTCCAATTTTATTTGACTGTTATTAAATAAAACTAGAAAGATTAACGTAAAACAAACTGTAACTGACTTCTTTACATAAAGAATAATGAAGTGTAATTATTTCTAATAATTTCAGAAAGACGTCAGGAAGAGTTCAGAGAAAACTCTAAAATTGAAAAAGAAGAAAGAAGAAAAGAAATAATTGAGCGACGTCAAAGCAACAAATCGTTAAGAGTTAATATTCAAAAAGTGTTACACGTAAGCATAACTTAAATTCTGTGAAAAAATATAATTAAAAAAATACATAATTTTATAATTTAATTTATAATATAATATTTTTTTAGCCCCATCCAATAATTATCAATAAAGCTTTGCGAAATGAAAAAGCGAAATGTCTTGCTTTCAATCGAATGACTGCTCCAGTAAGATCTTAATTCTTCTAGTTAATTTATTTTTATTGTAAACATTCGTTTATTACCTTGAAATTCATAAGAAGAAGATAAAACTTATAAAATTAATATATATTTATTGCTTACACTGAAAAAACTAAGAAATAGAAGAAAATATTTCAAGTATTAGTATAGTTCTATATTTGATTAATATTTGACACATTTTCTATTTAAGTTATTATTATTTAACTTATACTCGTATTATTACTAAATTTACATCCATCTAGCTATATATATAGTAAAACATGTCTAAAACAGAAGCTGAGTAAATGGAAACCTGCCTAAATAAAAAAACTTCCTCAAAACGAAAGAGATTTTCTCTGTTAAGTCTTATAATAAACCGAAAACCTGTCCAACGCGGGAACGAAAAGGTTTTTGGGCACTGAGAGCATAGCTTAACTTGAATAAAGCATAAAATTATTATTCCACTTGTAGACAAATAAGTAAAATCGATCTAATTAGAAATTCAGAAACCAATAGGAAAAAATGTACGTAAAAATTTTATCGAACTCTTATATAGAAAACATGTAATATGAATCGTGTTTTGCTTATTGTTACTTTGTATGAACAAAGTAATAAAAGCGTTGAAGTATATTATTACAACCGTTCACTTGTAAACTGTCATTTTTTTTCAATGTCTGTTAAAAACGATCCAACAGAATGCTCTTTCAATATTCAAAATAACAGCATCATTGTCCATTGATGTTTTTCTGCTTGGAAAGAACGAAGCGCATGTCCACAAAAAGTTTTTTAAATTTCGTTGCAATGTCGAATAAAGTTATGTATTCATACTATATTAGCATTATTAATTTAGTCAAAATTAAGTTCTTCAGAGTTGCAGGATATTCCAAAAATTCCTGTTTACAATTTTTTCTATGAAAACCCCTATTTTATTGTATAATACAGCAAAATATATACAAAAAGTATATACTGTTCTAACTATATCCACTATATAGTAAGTAGTATACCGTGTTTCCCCGAAAATAAGACAGTGTCTTATATTAATTTTTGCTCTAAAAAATGCGCTAGGTCTTATTTTCAGGGAATGTCTTATTTTTTCCAGGAAGAAGAATTCACATTTATTATTGAACAAAAAAATTTCCAAGTCGAANTTAACTCTTTCCGCCCTGTGGGCACTAAGAGAGCCTCTTTTAGCATGCCCATTATAGGTTCGACCAAGCCCACAATGGAGCAACCGGATGGTGAGGGACTGGGACCGACATATCCGGACGAACCACCCCTAAAAAATAAATTCCTAGGGTTTCGGTGGTGGGCTTTACCCAAACCGCTCGACCATTCGGCCGTCAATTGATAATTTTGTTATCAAGATAAACTATAACTTTATAATTCCAAGTTTCAAAGTATTATGACTTTAAAGTATGACCTATAAAGTACTTTAAAATATTTTAATACTAAAACATGAAATCAATTAAGTGTAATAAATGTTTTAACAGTCAGTCAGCATATATAAGAATTTAATAAAAATAATATAAAATATAAGACAAAAAGTGATTTATTTTTCATTGATTTCTCATTCCAATAAGAAAAATGAAAGCATTTGATAAATAACTTTTATATTAGATTCCTTTCTTCAGATACATTCTTTATCAGTAGCACCAGTAAATAGAAATATTTTTTTTTCTTATTAGGTTATAATTAATTAATTTTAAAACATTGAAAATATTTTCTAAAATAGATTGAAACTAATTGATTTTCCAATCGATCAGTGAAATTTGTACATGATTTCCGATAAACCGACAGATTCTGTTACAGAAATTACTAAAATGTAACATTACAATATCAAAAGAAAGTAGTGTTATTTTATTAGTCTCTAGCATTGGAATCTGGCACTGATATAAATATTTATTATCAAAGTATAAGATCATCTAAGATACTCATGGCTAAAATCAGAAATAATAATCACTATAACAATCCTATTTAATTTCTGTTAATGAATAATTGATTTTATTAACGTTTAACTAAAAATTTGTGAAAATATTAACTATCTTCCAATATATCTTCCAAAGGGATCTTCCAATAGGATAGTAGGAGGCAAACTGGCCCTTATTTAGGTGTTACACACGCAAACAATACCCGTAAACTCTATTCCAGTACGTTAGTTAGGTGCGAACCTACGACCCGCAGTGGTTTTACCCATTTATCCACAGTTGCGAAATTAAATTAATCCAAATACAAAGAATCCAAATTTCTTGCGCATATGAACTCTAAACTTTTCCTGGAGATATGCTTGCAGAACTTCTCATTTTATATGCTTACATGTCTGAAAAATAGTTTTAAAAAAATTAATTTTAGAATTGTAGATTTATATAACATTTATGCAAAAAAAAGCGATATTTCTCTACACTACACTATATGTTTATATTAATGTTTGTAAAGTAACTAATGTCACTATGAAAATGAACATTGTACCGAACACTTGATGGTACATTTTGTTTTAATCAAAAATTACATTACGTGCATATCGGCATATATTTGCATTATGAACTTGATCAAAGCTATCTAATTTATCTAATGTAATTAGATTATTGAAATCATTATCTTTATTAATTTATGTAGACGACTTAATAATTAATTATAATTAATGCAATATTTGGAATTATTTACTTATTTATATTCAATACTATAACCGTCAAAATCTGCTGCTCTACGCCCGGGCCTTACTGGTGTTTCTAAACACCAAGCAGCTAAGTAGTAGTTTTGTTTTAATATATTAAAAACATAAAGTAAATGCGAATTTTGCAGATAGAGATAAAGTAATTAGAGACTAGACATTTTCTGTTTTCGATCATTTATTCATTTATTTAATTATATTCAAAAACAGCATCACACTCTGGAGGTGTCTGAATTAAGAGTACCCAGCTTTTTTATATATATATATATATTATTAATGTGGATGGCTTTTATTGAACTTGAGGTTTCTGTTGTCAAAGGATGGAAATCTGCCAAATCCAAAACTGATTTTTTCTCATTAATAGTGCAATTACCATATGCGGGTGGTTTTATCAAAGAGTATCATCAGCAATTGGTATAAGTGTATAAATGTTGATACTGCTGGATGATCATTTCTCCCATCAGCTTGACGAATTGTACTAACGTAAAAAATAAAATATATCCTCTCCACCTCAAATTAGTAGTGGCTTGCCCCTGTATGTCGTACTTTTCCGTTAACAATAGTCATTCCGGTCATCTATCTAATAGCTTTCAGGGGAAAAGTTTTGAATTGAAATAACGTGACTTCCGGTTTGCATCAAAAGTTCGTATATAGTTAATCGGAACCTCCTCCTGCACCTAAGGTTTCCATAACTGGTCTCGTCTTTCATCTATCTAACTCCGTTCTCGAGATTAAGGAAAGACAAACCGACGACAGTGAGAATTTACAGGTCTGAAATTTTTTTCAAATTTCAACCCAAAAAATAATCCAGTTGATGCAGATTCTTTAATTTACCTTATATCAAGTGGATCTTGACTAATTTTTCCCGTTAAAACATGTCTGTAATTGCAGTCATATAGAAACTACTGAATCAGATCTATAGTCTAGATCAGGGGTGGCCAACCTTTTGCATACTATGCGCAAAATTTTTGACAGACGAGTTCAGATGCGCCATATAACTCGAACACTTTTTATACAGTCTTACGTTCAATGTTAGGGTTGATAAATAGAGATAAGAATAAATCTGCTTCGCTTATGGGAGAAAAGGGAATAACTTAATCACGCAATTGAATTAATTAATTTATGAAAGTTTATTGAAGCACCAATTTACAATAGTCAGCAATGATCTCTTGTACGAGAGGGTGATTGCTTCATTATTTCTGGCAGTGCTATAGCTGCCAGAGACTCGTTTGGTGAAGATTACTCTCCACCACAATTATTGGCATTAAGAACGAGATCAGCTTGGAATAACTTTAATCACAATAAATGTTTTCGGCCATTTACAGGCCTGTAAACTGATCGGAAATAAAGATCGCAAGACTCAAAATACATGCATACACTGTAATTTACTATGTGGAGAATACTCATTTTATCTGCAAAATAGACTGTAACGAATTGTGCAACAAATGAACTTGCCAAGACAGATTATAAAAAATTTATTTTTCTATATAATATTCTTAATCGCAAAAAAGCCAAATCTGGCAATTTTGCTCAGAACTAACTGAAGCGCCACTTTTAATTGTCCAATGCGCCACGTTTGGCGCATGCGCCACCTTTTGGCCACCCCTGGTCTAGATCAAAGTGACTCGGAGACCCTCAGCTGTTGAAGAGTTAAAAAATTTTTAAGCATCCTGCTTTGTTTGAATCCAGAGCAAGAACAGCTTGATAATGTTCCCATTTAATGATGCCATCATTCAAACCCTAAATAAATATATAAATTGCTGTTAAAAAATATATGATTTAAATAAGTATAAAAAATTAGATCATACGTAAATTATGTCCATTAATAAGCCGATTTCTGATTGTTTTTATGAGATGAGGACTATCAGAAAAATATTAAAATTCTTATGTTGTTGTCATCTGAAAGATGCATGAAATAATATTTAGCATCAGCTAAAACAAAATATCACAAAATTCTGTAAAACAGCTTCAATAAACAAATTACCATCAAATTTTTAAGCTTACCTAATTTTCCATTTACTCCCAGAAACTTCCGCATACTTCTGTTAGTATCATTCCAGTCTTTAATAATAAAGTGGGGTGCAAAATGTCTTTCAAAAACAAAATCAGTTTATTTGTAAAGTCTGTCTTCTCTAAGGAATCATTCGCCGCCACTTCAGTAATAATTCCGATCTTTAGATCCTTTAAATAAACTTACTTTCTCTGAACATGTGGCGAATCCAGCATTTCATCCAATCACAAACCATGTTTTGCCCATCGTTAAACAGCACGTTTCGCACTAAGAAAGGCAATTTAACACTAAAAAATAAAGGAAATATTGTACCAAAATACTTTTCGTACGTAGTCATAAATCATAATTAAACAAAATAACTATATTTTTAATGCATATGAATATAATAGAACACAGTTACACGCGAAAACAACCAACTACGATTATTGCGCTCTCTAATAGATAATATGTTACCAAATAAATAACCTTGGACGGTTTTGAAACAAATCGCCCTCATCTTTCCTTCTTACATCGTGGTTAAGACCAAGTATAGTAAGTTGGTTACTTAGATGCTTGTCATTTAGAAGCACCCATTGATTAATCGATAGGAGTATCGAACTGTTAAAAGTGACAAGTAAATTGGCATAGCAAACATCTAATTTGCATATCTATTTATTCGTCATTTTTAATTGCTAAGTACTATCTAAGAGTGAATACATTACTTGCAGATTTTATAAAAACTACGTTTGAAGGAAACTTATTTTAAATCGGTTCTGAGAAACTTCCAATCAATTTGATTTTTGACAAAATCGCCATGTAAAGTTTTATAGTTTTATACATTATATATTATTGTAAAATGCCCTATAAAAATATCTTATTATTACTGTTTTATTTTCATTATCTCAGCTAAGATATAACACAAAGTTTGGCTGAGATTTTTAAACTATGTTACTAATTGTTTCTATATAATCATGTGTTTGCATATAGATCTACTGAATATGGTCAGTTTAAAATTCATTTATATTTCCATTAAAATTAATTATTTCTTATAACAAAAAAAAACAATCGGATTTGTATTTTTCAATGAGAACAAATTAAATTTTAAAATGAAAGTCATTTATTCTTAAAAAGTATGACTTTTTAAACATAATTATGAATGATACGGATGTAATGGATCTTGAATGTATATCATTTTGCTGTCGTAGCTAAGGAACAAAACTATATAGGAATTGAATAAGATGAAATAGAATTAAAAAAGTCCGAAAATTCAAACATTACGTCATATGGCTTCTCGCAATTTTTATTATTTTATTTATTTACTAGCTGTTACCCGCGGCTTCGCTCGCGCGGATTTTGCAAGTAAACCCTGTTTACATTCAATATTTCAACAACCATAGTAATTGTTATTTAACACCTACCGCTGAGAATGATGAGAATTTCCGAAAATCAAACGAACTGCTTTTAATTTGATAACTTTTCTGGAACGTTTACAATCGTTCTATAATCGAACCAATATGCAAAAAGAAATTTGAATTTAAAACGGTTCGAACATTGGTTAAAAAAATCAAAATATATAAAAAATATTTATAACAATGTCTGAAATGTTATCAATTTAATACACCTAAGTACTCAATGAAGACTAAACGTAGTTAAAAACAAAAAATTGCATCTAAAATAGTACAGTAGAAGCCATTCTTCGGGTTANGAACATTGGTTAAAAAAATCAAAATATATAAAAAATATTTATAACAATGTCTGAAATGTTATCAATTTAATACACCTAAGTACTCAATGAAGACTAAACGTAATTAAAAACAAAAAATTGCATCTAAAATAGTACAGTAGAAGCCGTTCTTCGGGTTAAACTTTAATGCTCTCCCTCTCCTCCCGCGGAGGAATTTCGAAAAATCCCTTCTTAGTGTGCGTTTTCATGATGTACCCTAACTGTTTATCAAATTTCACCTCTAGGTTCTGGAACTTTCTAGAAAAAACTGGAACATTTTCATCGAAGCGTCATCACATTTTCGAAGTCAACCACTTTCAAACCCCATATCTCTCACACCCTTATAGCTATCCAGACGCAATCACCATAGTGCACGATGGGAGACTTGGGCTACTACCATACACAAACACCATTCATGTGCGATGTGTAGTTTTGGCTGCAGAGTGACCTATAGGCATAAACACGTCCATTTATATATACTGTATATAGATAATCTCAAATTTTTTGCAAAAATGTTCGGAGATTTTAAAGAAGTCTCAACAAAGAATTTCGAATCGCAATGTTAAATTCTCATTTCTGAATTATATTATTTATTAAAGAGAATAAAATTATTATTTATATAAGCATAATTATCCCCATTTCAGAGCCAATTCATTTATTATAAAACAATGTTGTTACGAAATAAAAATGATATCAAACTTAAAAGTTATCTCGTTTCTTTAGCAAAAAATTGAACCGCAGATAAGTATGAACACAACCATGGAAGATGAACGCTTTTCTGTGGCAGAAATGGAAGCTGTGTTGAGGATGTACGAAGAAATACATGAAAAACTTAAAGGGATAACGATGGCCGGTGACTTTGAAGTAAGAATATAATCTTTTTTATTTAAGTTATATCCCTTAGCATTACATGTGAATTTGGGGTTGTAGTAAAAGTAATCCCAAGAATATCATAACAGTTATTGTTTTGTTTGATTCGGTCTAATTGTACAAAAATACAACGTATGACAATTGAATTCCCGGAATGGCCACGTAATGTCGCCCGTGACATAACTACATCGAAATGACATGTTCAGTCGTGTTCGAACATGTTTGAACTAATACCTGCGTAAATTTCAGCTGATAGAGCTAGTTGTTAATTAGCTATTGGAAAGGTAATAGTTATCTGTACCTTTTGGCATAAAAATGGGTGTCCGAAATTTAGAGCAACGTATTAATATTAAATTTTGTGTGAAAATCGGAAAATACACTATTGAAAAGTTATAATACGACCCAGAAACAAAACGTCAGAGCATGCAATGGAAATCTCTGAGTTCACCGCGCCCTTAAAAGGCATACATGTTGCGCTAACAATTTAAGACTTTGCTGGCGTGTTTCTTTGATCACAAATAGTCCATCAAGAATTTGTTGAATAGGGACAATCAATCAACTAAATGCTATTTAGTACTGCAGAGATTACGAGTTCTGTTTCGAAGAAAGACCCAAACTGTGGCCTAACAAGTGGATCATTCATCACGCCAAGTCACTGTGAGAGATTTTCTGGCCAAAAAAGCGATTACCCAATTAGATAGTCCTGCCTATTCATCTGACTTAGATCCCTGTAATTTCTGACTATTTCCAAAATTAAAAACTGCTCGAAAGGATGAAGATTTTCTAATATAACTGATATCAACAGAATGTGAGACAGCTATTCAAGTGTTCCGAAAAATGAGTTCTAGGCTCGCTTCTAGAAATGAGAACGCCGTTTAATTCAGTATATAGATGCATAAGGGGGGTACTTTAAAGGTGACAGTAGCCACTAGCGTACAGTTCCGCATGTATATTTTTTAAAGGCGCATTTCGGGAATTAAATTGTCACATCTTGTATGCTCCTTTCCTTAAATACTCGTATTCTGAAAAGTCTAAATGATTTATATTCCTTATTACAAATTACATATATTATATACTAGCATATCTACTCGGTGTTGCCCGAGTAAAAAGTAATAGACAGACATTAAAAGTTTGGTTATTTTAGGCAAACTTCCAAATCAATCAAGAAGACCCTACATTCTTTGAAATCATCACTCAGAATATTATTTATAGACAGTGTGGTGCCTTTATTAATTATTACAAAATGCTTACTTAGATATAAATGCATTAAGCTTAAATTATCAGTGTCGAAGAAATTAAATCAGGGAAAGTCCAAATTTCATGTTAATCTGTATTTTCCGTAGGGTCATAAAAAGTAGCTATGAAACTGCTAAACACTTTGATCGATCTGGATCGAAGTGTTTAGCAGTAAGTAGGGAACAGCAAATACATATACTGACACATTTTATGTACTGTATATAGAAAATACTTATATTTTTATATTTATTTGATCAATGCATTTAACTTAGAATATTATAAAATATAGTCTATTATTTCGACAATTGTATTAATAAAACAAATTATTACAGCAAATTGAGTTAGTATTGATTTCTCAAGACGTAATTAAACAGTATTTGTTGGAAGAAAAATCAAGACGGGAAGAACAGAAATTACAACTTTTGGATCAACTTGCTTTATTGGAAAAGAATCGTTTACAAATGATTGATTCAACAGACATAAATGTTATCAAGTAAGTTTTAATTACGAAAAAAATAAAAGTTGCAAAACGATTAGAAAATATATTATTTATTATTGTATATTTTATATTGCTAATATAAAATTCATCAATAACGTTTTCCAAACAAACGAATAGTACATACCCCCCACACAAGGCTTTATGGAGGATAACGTAGTCTGCGGAAAAATACATACTGGGGTACTATAACAAATTAAAGTATAGGAATTAAACGAAATACAAACCCAAAAAAACCTGTAAGGATCTTACTTCCTTAAGGCTCAGGGCAATTAAAATTAATCAAAATTGTTTTATTTTCAAGTTATTTAAAAAAATAACCTGCTATATATAACAAAACATCGTGTACACACAAATAAATATATGCCCATCAGAAATAAGTGCCGATTTCCTCATGAGATATTTCTCGTATGAGGATACAATATTTGTGTTTATAGCTATACTGTTTCCCAATTATATCAACTTTAAAGTTATTGTCATATTATCTTTTAAAATATACGAAGTGATGTTAAGTCTTATAATATTTTTTTCTAGATCTAAATTATCAGTACTTTTCCCAGTTATTCGTTTTAAATTGAATCTTCAAAACGTTAAATTCATTTAACTGTGAATAAACTTTTAAAATCACAATCGATCCCAATACACGGGAGCTGATACTAAAGCGCATTGAACAATTTATTAAAACATTAACATAAACCTAACAATTTTTATTATGCACACAATTTAATTAGACTCTTGTTTTTATTTGAAACGCTTAATAATTTATTTTTATTGTTTTAATTTTCTCTTAATACTCTAGAAATAAAATGACAATTGACGAATGTAAACAAAACTTAAACGAGGAAAATATAAGAATAACTGATACACAAAATTCGTTAAATCGACTGGGAAGTCTTCTTACTGAAGTAAAAAGTGGTGCAATGCAACTCCATATTTTGTTAGAAAACATTGAAGTAAGATTATATAGTATATAAAATTTCTGTTAAAATGTTTAAAAAAACATTCGATACTCTAAAATTAAATTTTTAATTTTTAGAAGAAAACAAACATTTGATTTCATATAATTATCTGTTCTGCTTTTACTGAAATTTAAATTATATTCGTGACAAGAATTTTGAGTTTATATCTCCCATTACCATCTTATATATAGTCTACTAATTTTAAAAGTAATGAGAAAAGGATAAATTTGTTCTTGTAGAAATAAATTCGTGTGCTTTACATGTAAAATCTTATACTACATTTAAGAAATTGTTTATTACTACATGGGAGCAAGTCCTCATTTAATGTCTTCAATAAGTTCTTGGAAGGTGTAGCGTTAAGCAAAACGACGTATTGCGACGAAACCAATTTTACCGTAGGATAATTGATATAAACAAGACGTAATTCGATTAATGTTTTAATTGGATCGTATTTGCCACATCTAGCATTTATTTTCCACCTCACAGAATCAATTTTACTGTTTATAAAGAAAGTTCAACAGTAACGAGCAATTATTTATTGTGACAGCGTCACAACGATGAGCTGCAATTTTTAATCATATCTTTAATTTAATTAATTTAAAATATGCACTCTCCACCTCAAATTATTAGTAGTGGCTCGCTCCTGTACATCATACTTTTCCTTTAACAATATAATTGTGCCAGTCATCTATTAACTGCTTTCAGTAGAAAAGTTATGAATTGAAATAATGTGACTTCCAGTTTGCATCGGAATTAGTACTGTATATAGTTAATCGGGAGTGTCGTCTTTCATCTATCTATCTCCGTTCCCGAGATTAAGGAAAGACAAATGGACGAACGGACAGACGACAGTGGGAATTTATAGGTCTACATTTTTTTCAAATTGCAGCCTAATAATTGCAATCAATTACAAATATGTACAGTAAAGTATACGATGGTAAATAAAAACTTACTATCGATTTGGCGGATATTTTTAATTTACTTTTGTAAATATTCATTATATATATATATATATGTTATAACCATATTACCCATATTAACAGTATTAACCATATACAGTATATATATATATATGGTTAAGATTTACAAAGTATGAGTTATAACTTACGAGTTATTTCCAACTTAGGAAATGTCTTGGAACGAACCGCAACATGTCGCCAATGATGGTTAACAAAGCACATCAAAGAAAAGCGGTTGTTCGAAAACAAATTCTTTCAAAGAATTTTTATACTGTTTTGTTTTAATTTATATTGTATAATATAATGTACAAGTAACCCCCGTATAACACGGTAGTTACGTTCCAAAAAAATTGCCGTGTTATGCGAATCCGTGTTATACGAAACAAAGAACTAATACGAAAAGGAGGGTTAGGTTCCAAAAATTAAAAAACATGCTAGTATATTTTCATAATTAAGATAAATATCTTTATTAAAATTTTTTTAAGTGATACATATTAATATAAATTAAACAATGTTTTCTTCGTCATCACTAAAAACACTATTAATTAACCGAGAGCGTTTTCTTTTTGGCAAGTTATCCTTATCCTCTGAGCATTTTTCTGCATTATCTTCAGATCCATGATTTACCTTTCGCAAAAAGTGTATGTAATTTTAGATTGCTTGCTTCTAGTTAAAAGGTCTTTATAAATTTCCATATGTAGTGCTAAGTACTTATGAAGAATAAAGCAAGTATGGAATAAGGGAAAAACATTCGGCAACATCAGAAGCAGAAGCGTCGCGATCTGGCAACATTGAAACAAGTTTCGAGAAGGACCACGTGTATCGACAGAAGGCGAGAAGAGAAATTTACATTACTTAAAATAATATTTTCGTGAACTATTAGTACTTAAGTATGTAAAAATTTATTACAATTTCCTGTTGTACGAGGGTTTTACCCAATTCTCGAACCGTGTCAGAGCGAATCCGTGCTATAGAAGTGCCGTGTTATACGGGGGTTACCTGTATTTTTAAATTTATGTAACTGTTGTCTGTTTTTATGTATATTTGTTAATTTTGCGGGGTCGATATCAACTGTCCTTCGAGACTTTTCTATTTACTTGTAAAAAGAAATAATGAACATGTATAAATTAGTTTGTTAATTACAAAATCATTCTTTTAACTCGTTTCTTAAAAAATATTTAAATTTACCTGGTATTAGATCGTTAGAAAATAACAATGATCTGTATAATGAAAACAAAACATTTTGTATTTTGTATATTGTTCATCAATTATTTTCTCGCCCAGATGTCTGATACCCAGTTAGCAGTAGCCTAGTTGACCATCGCCCACTCGACAGCGTCTCACAAAATTTGTTTCCATTCAGTAATCCAGTGTCTTCATTCTTGGCATTATTAAAGCCTCTAACATCTATGATGTAGGTTCAATTAAAGTCACAGCAATGAATAGCAAGCTACAAACTGCAGCAATCGGTGGTAAACAATGTTAGCAGAAATATCTTGAAATATTACCATCCTCCATTGCTTTGCCTATGCTGTGGATGTCAATGTACAATTCATCACAGCCATGCAGTAGTTGTTCTGTTTTCCCTTTAAAATTTGGACATTGGAATCCCAGATCCCTCATGACACCATGTATACATAACTCTACTAACATTTTGCTGAAGTTGTGCAATAATATCACAATATGACTACTCTTTCTCTCAATCCAACAATTATTCCTCTTTCAAACTCCATCAAATGCTCATAACATTCTTTCCTTTTGCAACCATAAATCATTTCAAGAAAATATTCTAACATTCCAAAAATGTGTTGATCATTTCAAGAATTTATTAGAAGATATTAAAAACCAAGTTAATCACTTGAAAAAAAGTAAACCGCAGAAATGGCTACATATTAGCAGCACTGTAACAGTCAATTTCATTGACAGAATGAATATTCAGAATTTTGTTTGGTGAGTTTTTTATACCTGTGGAGTGTCATGTTGAGCAAACACTAAATATAGATAAGTACTGAGATTGTATTCATTTGCATTTTCCAATACAGTAGAGTCTCAAAAACTCAGCACTCGATAACCCGGCAGTCCGGAAACTCAGCCACACCCTGGCAGGGCAAAAAAATCCTTAGTTAATTAATTTTCATTATAGACAGCTTTATGCCTCATAAAGTATTTTTCTGAGATCTGCCTTATCAGGTAAATTACTGTACACAGTGTATTCATTAACTTTCATTTTCATGTAGTAAATGCTCTATGCCTTCATAAAGGACTTACTTTTCCTTTGTTTAAGGGTATTTGGGCAGTTTATTCTCTGTTGTATTCTCAAGTAAACAATACATACAAGTACAGTACAGTATTTTCTGAGGAAACATTCATACTTATTTTTTTAACCCCATTCCCGATAACCTGGCATTTTCACAAACTCGGCCACCCTTCGGTCCACATTAAGCTGAGTTTGAGACTCTACTGTATAACCTATTTGTATAGCAAATTTCAACCCAATCCAAGTCACCTTCATGATGTTTCAATTTCAATGAACAGTGTATTAAAAAGACTTCAAAAAAACATATGAAAATCTGGTTTTCCTTCTTTGTTCATATTGCAAAAATTTATCTTTTTTTTTTTTTTTTTCAGTTTAATCAAATAACTATTGACACTGAAAATATTCTAACATTCCAAAAATGTATTGATCATTTCAAGAATTTATTAGAAGATATTAAAAACCAAGTTAATCACTTGAAAAAAAGTAAACCGCAGAAAATATCTTATGCTACTTTTCTGGATCATATGCAATCACTGAATGCTATTCATAGAAGACGTATCAATTATCCAAAAGACAAAGCAATCCCAATAAGTAAATATAATTATTATAAATTAATATATTCTATCTTTCTAAATATAATTACACAAATCATAGAAAAACTAAATGAAGCACATTTTCAAAATTTATACCTACACCCATTTTAATTAAAATGTTTAATATTTCATAAAAAATATATTTCTGTTTTAAATTTTTGAAAATTATTAGAATACATTTTACCATTTTAGTATTTTAATTTAAAATGTTTATACCTAGTTAAAATTATATTTTAAATGATGTATGTAATTTAATTTTACAATTAAATAATTATAAATCAGACCAATGTCATTAATTAATTTAATGTTTGACATAAAATGTATATATTACTTGGATATTATTTTTCATAAACTGATTATTGTTCATAAAATATTCCTAAAAAATATAGAAATTAAAGATAAATTGAATTTGTATATCACATAAACCACTTTAAAATTTTGCTACAAGATTATACAGTTTTTATAGAATGTAACTATGTCAATCCTTTCAAATTAAAGAGAGAAAATCAATCTCAGTAAACCAGATATTCTTTAACAAGAACAAACAAAAGAACAAGTATTCAGTCAATCAATGTAGAGTATATTTGCTTATAAATGTGTTATATATAATAAAATGTATCAATTAGGTTGTCATCATCTTTTGGTCAGAAGATGGTATAAAAAAAAATAGTTTTCAAAATAAACTTTTCATATTTAATTTGCCATTAAAAATGTGCAAAAGTAAATGAATATGAGTTTAGATTTACATTTGCAACATGTTTCATCTGTTTAAAATCATATTTCCTAAGTGAATATTGTGTTCATAACTTGGACTTATATATTTCTTTGTAAGACATCTTATTTGTCAGTAAAAAATAAGTTTTGTCTATATCATTATCCCTAATTCAAAATCATGTTTAATATACTAAATTTTTGTATTACAGAAACACACCAATCATATCACGAAAGTGATGAGGATGAAGAAGAAACTATTCCCAGATCAATTATTAAAGCAAATGCTGAAGAATTTGCTCAAAATGAATTTCAGAAACGACATAAACTATTTTTAAAATAAATGTTTATTTGCTAATTATATTTTGATTATTAATACAAAATGAAAATTTAATTACATGACCCACAAAACCTGTAAAAATGATTAGACTAGAATATTTTACATTGCTGTAAATTTTATGATTACAATTATATCAATGAATAACTTCTCAGCATTAATGCAGTTTTTATTTCACAAGGATTATAAATTATTCATAAAAAGTTATAGTATATTACAAAAAGGAAATTATATTTTGAAAACATTTTGTAATTTAAAAGCAGAATTAATCACAAATACTATCAAATAACAAATAGTGTGTGTTAAAAAAAAAAGGCATTCAACATTTATTTGATAGTGTACATCATACTGAGTAGAACATCTTAGTAAACATAGGTTGAAAATGCAGTCATTTCTGAGATATTTTGTATATTAATATCATTATTGATTTTTATGTATCAAATGACATAAGAAAATAATCTTACCAAATTCTTACCATGATATTTACAGGTCCTCCCTTCCATTTCCTATGCAGATTTGACATATTAGAGTGACAAAGTCTCTCAAAAATTCCAGTCTCTGATTATCTCAGAAACAATTGCGTTTTTTATCTATGTATACTAAGCTTTTTACTCATTATAGTGTGCACTATTTATCATTTAAATGATAAATATTTTTTAACACCCTGCATAATTTTTCCAACTGTTTTATTATATTATTACTTTATAAAATACTCTAATATAAAATGCCTAAAAGCTACAATATAAATTAATAGTAACTTATAATTCACATTTTTGTTTTTTTTTTTCATTCTTAAATTCCAATTCATATTAAAATAAAGTTTTAAAAATTAATATATAATTAAATTCTAATTTAAATTATTTAATTTCGTTATTTATAAAAAGTGAAAAATAACTAATCAAATTTTACTATAATTATCTATGATATTAATTTAATGTAATCACGATGAAATACAAAATATTATTGTACATAGTTACAGTTTGCAAATGCTGTATCACATTTATGATTTATAAAATTTGTATTTTTTAAGTGCAAATATAAATTATAAATGCTAAAAAACAAATGTCTTATAAAGATTTTTGTATAAAATAAACCAAAATATAAATTAATTACTGAAATATGATACAATTGAACTCCTATGTAATGAAATTTATAAAATAGTTATAACTAAGAAACTTCCACTGTATTTTGAAATTTTCTGTTTTACATATGTAACAGTGCAATATAGTAGCTTACAATGCTTCTAAGCAAGCAAACCAATGAAGAATGCATTGCCTGATAAAGCTGCTTATAAAGACTATTAATTTAAAAGACATCAGTCTCTACAGTATTAGTGTAATGAAGTCTGGAAGATCTGAAGACTAATTTAAGATGGCTGCCACAAATTACAAAGTATTTGTAAAATTTTTAGAGTGGAAAATACATGTCATCAGCTACACCTAGTCTTATAATTTTTATAACAGCTGCAATTTTTGTATCATTTCTGAGTAAACATTTTGACTTATATAAAGATAGTATTTATAAACAGTAAAATGTGACTTTGTTGTCTGTGAATGCTTAGAGTGATCTTCAGCAATTTAACTAAACCAGCATTACTGACAATGCATTCATAGTCCATTTCATACAGCATGAAACAGATTATTTCATTGGTTTACTTACTTAGCTGTTTATCTTTAATAATAGGAAGTTAATAAAAAGGATATCAAAATTTGAATTAATTTCAACTTATATTTTTATTTAAATGCATTTCAGAATGAAAACTATTCCAATTACTATGCCAATATAGAAAATAGAATTTTTATTAGAAAAAATTGATTAAAAAACTATATAACTCAATTATTTTGACAAATGAAATCTAAATCATTTAGTTAATTGGAAAGTTTTAATAAATGGAAGTTATTTTAAATGAAATTTCATACAATTCAAAATGTCAAAATAATTCATTAAATATGATTTTACTGAATGTTCATTATATAGAAATTTGATTATATCCTTCAAACGAACCTTAATTATAATTAACTAAAATTATTTGTATTCTCAACACTTTTGATTTTAAACACAAAACAAAATAATGTATAGTTTACTATTTTATTACAACATAAATAGTGGATAAAAATCCTAGAAACTCAATATGAATCCTAGGAACCTTTAACTCATCTGGTTTTCATGTTATACAATTATTTTTTCAGTGTTTTAAATGGTAAGAAATTGAAATATACATTTTAAATATTTATGACAAATAATATGCATTTATATTATAATAAATCCTTTGTCATAAATTAGTTACAATATATACAGTTTTAAAATGGAATGAAAATGCTAATGATTAAATACATATAAAAAGTTGTAAAATAGAATGTAATTTTTATCATTTCATAGAGCATTAACATTTAGATGCAATTGTGTATTTTAAGATTGCACACCTAGCAATCTTATAGGAATTAATTACGTTATGCATTTTTCATATTAATTTGTAATTGGGGTGATTATTTTTGGAATTTCTGAGATTTTAATTGTGTCTAAAAATATTAATACAAATACAATAATTATTGTCAGTTACACATTGTGTAATTCAGATAAGGTAAAATGTTTACTGTGATTTAATGCAATTTTAAAATATTTTCAATGTTTATAAAATATTCACTCTTTCAAACATATGTGAATGAATACATATTTACAAATTGCATATTCAATGCAAATTGCAATTTGTAAAACATATACTGAAAATATAATTTAGTATGATACTCACGCCAAGTAATAGTAGTAGGAAGTAGAGTTCACTGTGTATGGCGTTATTACTAGTTTTTCTTTTTTCTAGCACTTTCAATGAATATATTTTCGTTGTCTTCAGACAAAATAAAACTTCTAAATTGAACATAAATATTCAAAATGGGAAAGGAACACATATAATTTTAAATAAAAAGATTTTTGGAATAAACTCATTATGAACCGGCCACAAATTTCAAATACATATGATGTTATGCATGCGATGTAATACGGCACATGCATGGGTGCCATTCCATGTTAACAGTGTGACAGATGATGTAAATCACTGTTTGACCATTTATATAGGGCGACCCATATATTGGGCAGTTTCAAAGTGGGTGCATTGAATGTTTCTGAGGTTGTAATGAATAGATCCTAGTGTTCAGCTAGGCAGGTAGCAAACAAGAATGCTTGCTACTTGCCTAGCTGAATACCAAGATGATGTGGCGAAAGGAAGGTGCACCACAGAGCTTGCAAGAAAGGTGCACGATCTGAATTACAACCCATTATGGGCCCAAACTGCAATACTCAGAACCTGCAGTGACCAAAAACTCCTCTTTATATGATGGGAGGCTCTATTTATAACAACCTTGGAAACATGCAATGCACCAACTCTGGAAACCTTATATGCCCAACATATAAGGTTGCTCTATATAAACGGTTAACAGTGATTTACATTGTCTGTCACACCGTTGACATGAACTAGCACCCACTCATGCGCAATATTACATCACACGCATAACATCGTACGTATTCGAAATTTGTGGCCGGTTCATAACGAGTTTATTCCAAAAATCTTTTTATTTAAAACTGTGTGTGTGTTCCTTTTTCGTTTCAAATGTTTATGTTTGATTTAAAAGTTTTATTTCGCCTGAAGACGATAAAAATATATTCGTTGAAAGCACTAGAAAAAAGAAAAACTAGTAATAATGCTGTACACAGTGAACTCCACTTCCTACTATATACTGAAAAGAATTTAAAAGCTAGGAATTAAATATTTTTTTCATTCTAATCTATTATCTTTTAACATTATTCTACTAAATTAAAATTTTATTATAGTTTAATAATAATGATCTAATTAAATGATTTAATAAAAAATAATTCAGATTAATTCATGGATAATAAAACAAAAGTATAATTTATTATTATATTAATATAAACTTGTCACATTCACAAATAAACTTTTGTTCATTACTCAATTACAACTTACTGATTTTTATTGTTTGCCCATCAATAAATGAAAGAAAATTAGACACTAATATTTTCACCTACAACACAATGTTTACTTTTGCCTTACTTCAATTTCTATGTAATTTGTTAAAATTAAAAATGAATTCCTAAAAACGTTTTAAATCTAATACAAAAAGAAAAGCTTTCTAATTTTTTAAAAATCTTGTAACAAATTTTGATTATTGATTTTTGTCTTTTTAGATAATAAAAATAAGCATCAGATAAATTTTTCTAAACTTATACAGTTGTTCATATTTACATTTACTTACAAATGAAGAAGTAGATTTTCAAACACAAATCATCTTTCCATTTGTATATGAAAAACTTTCTACTAATTTGGATTAAAAATATTTTTGGAAGAATGATATCAATATCTTCATTCCACCTATTTAAAATGTAAAATTTTTCATTATTCAGAATCTTATTGTTATAGAATGATTCCTTCAAAAATACAAGAAATATAATACTGATAGAATTTATTTCAATATTTAAATAAATTAATCATTTTTTACTGCTTTAAATAGTTTTTTTTTTTTATCTATTTGATTGAGCAAGATCAGACTTCCATTTTCAGTTGAAATCATTTATTCATTAAAACTAGCATGAAACCGATATGAAATGAATATAATAGAATGAAATTAAACTTTAATGATAAAGTCTAGCTCTTTATCTATATACAGTAAGACCCCGCTCAATGCTGATTCGATATAACATGGCTTGCTTGAAGCCTAAAAAAAAAAACCTCAAAATTTATGCTGATTTAAATTATCGCAGCATTTCATCGATTATTTATGAACACAAACCAATCAGGAAAAGGTGGCAAAAAGGTGTACTTTCTTTAAATCTATGTTTGTTTGGTGCAATTTTGGAAAAAATATAACATCATGGATGCCATAGGCAATATCGACTTCATTTGGCAAGAATTAACTGATAAATACATGAACAAAGTGTGGAAGAAGTTATGGCTGAAGATATCCAAGAATTCTCAATGAGAAGAGCCTATCGCTGTATTGTTAGGTTGACCAAAT